AATAGTTAGGGTACTTGAATGCATTTTCTAAATTTAACTCCTAGGTTTATTGTCACTTCAAATCTTATTCACATACAATTGATTTCTAGGCACCAAAATACACGGTTTAGTAGAGAAACCCCCAACTCATGTTTTATTAAAACACCTTATACAAATAAATGGTTGAAGTAACATAAAATTGTCTTCTTATATTAAGTTATATGATCCTGCTGTTCTGCTTACTGTTTCACAAAATTGTGGCCAGGATGGAGAAACTACTGCAGAGGCTCAACTTGGTACCTTGTGAATTAGCCACATGGCACTGAGAGAAGATGTTGCTCTGTTCATCAAATCCAGTATTCCATTTCCAGAGTGTCTTGAACAAGTCCTTAGTTGCACCATATCCTTTTGTCCATATACTGTATACCTGGTCTCAGTCTAAGCAGCAATTTCTGCTTGGCCTCACTGGCATTAACTTTCAGTGTTTATCACTTTAAAGCCACTATGCACTACTTAATCCCTAGGTCTGTCTTCACCTACACAGCAGTTTAAGCCGCATACCTTTGATAAAGCTCCATGCAGGAGCGAAACATGTTAGGTTGATTAGTGGATGTTCTGTCCTGTGTGGTGATACAATTTGCCGGCTTTACAAACTCTGTGATGCTGGACTACTTCAGCTTGTTCATGGACTTAATATGGATATACCTATGAATGCTATTGGGGGAACTACCTTAACAGCAAAGTGGAAGTGACCTATTATCTTGGATTACAGCATGCATCCTTTGGAACTTTAAGATGCACATGATTTTGGGTGAGATCTTTCCACCTTTTATTGTTTATCATTGTGTGGGACACAATTGCTCATTTGCTCATATATCAATCCTGTATAATAATAATATAATAATTTGTCCCAGGCATACAGCATGGAGTGTAGTAGAGCCCGTCCCCCAAGACGTACTGTCTCTCTACAAAAGAGACTAAGGGGAATTTATCAAAACTGGAGCAGACACAATCTGGAGCAGCTGTGCATGGCAACCAATCAGTTTCTCTCTTTCATTTTTAAACCTTAACTGAACAAACTGAAGAGAGACGCTGATTGGTTGCCAGGCACAGCTGCTCCAGATTTTGTCTGCTCCTGTTTTGATAAATCCCCCCACTGTGTCTATACAAAGACAGAAGTGATGGTTACTGCATTTCAGTGGATGTGTACAGCTGAGGATTTAGCTTCCATACTTGTATGATTACAACATAACATAATACTACAATATATAGGGGCTAAGCTAGCACAACTGTGGTTATACCTGTCCAAAACAGACGAACAGTCTGATACAAGTTTTCCTGGCCCCTGTGCAGCTTTCACAGGCATTGACCATCAAACTCTTTTGGCCATTTTATCATTGTCCCTTCTGTTAGAGCGACCCATTGCCACATGAACTTAGTTTGTGCAGTACACAGCACTCTGCACTCTCCAATCAAATAAGTGCACTGCTCCTTTAGGGGTCTCAGTCCTTGACTCATGCAGGGTCTTCTCACCTGCACACAATGCGCTCTCATGCACAGAAATTGCAGTTCTCATAAACTTCACTATTTCAAGGACTCCAGTCTCTGCCCACAAGGTATAATAGACACACTGTCCCTCTAATGTCAGTTCTTTGCACATAAACGGCTTCTGCGAGAGATAGCGCTGGCTGCCCGCATTCTCCACCACTTGTGACTTTTGGGTAATTAGCACATAGGAAGCGTCTTGAAGCCATTTTAAATATAAACAGGACAGTCTTTTATTTCTTTCATCAACACAGCATATAGTCTGCTAATGTTTCAGCAAGTAGACAATGTCTCACTGACCAAAGATTGTCGCACATACTCCAAAGATTGTCGCCTCTAGCACACACAGCCACCTGGCTCCCCTCTGACTTCTGGGTGGAGTCCTCCTGACTCCTGAACACCTCTGTTCCCAGCTGGAGCCCAGAACATTAGCCCGCACCCTTCCCAGAAGTGCTGTGCACAGGTGTGCAATTATGTGCTGGCCACTACTAAACAATGGATGCAGGAATGGAGATTTCATCCCTCCCAAGTCTCTTCGAAATCTCCCAGTTCCAGGATCCCATGCCAAATCCAGAACACCCAGAGAGAACTGCAAAGCCAGTTCTTTCCCAGCAAAAGAATCTGTTTATTGGAACTGCTCAGCCCCTCTGGCTGAGAGTCCTGGGTGACTACAACCCCAGTTCTACCATGGGATTGCCACACAATCCCACAATTTATACACACACACACTGTAATATATATATATTTATATATGCATATATATATATGTGTGTGTGTGTGTATACTTTGGTTTCCGATACGTTTGTGGTTACTTCCAATACCTACTCATTTTGGGGGTCCATGTTTACCTTTGTTATTTACTTTGGGGAAGCTTACCACCCTTTTTATCAGAATCTTTTTATTTATTCATCTATTCTCTTGTTGTTTTTGCCATATTGGTGGATAGAGCAGGGAGTGGGAACCGTGACCCCCTTATTGGCACTTGGCCTAGTTATTTATTGACAGCAGTTTAATCCTTGGTGTGGGCACCTTTTGCCCACTGTGTACACTCTCTAATCATTCTTTTTACATTACCTTTTGCCTACTCTGTCTACTCCACCCATTGTAATATATTTCTAATCTGTCTTCTCCATGCACACCAACTTCAGATCAGCTATTTCCAGATTAGAACACTACTTTCTACTGTCTGTTTGTATCACTCTATCTATTCAGATTCTGCATGGAAGCAGTTGACTCCACGTGGACATTTCTCAGTGCAGTGGCAGGCTTCAGGGTGCAACTCGGTGAGCTTCCTTTTCTTATAAGAACTGCTCCATACATCCTTTTCAGAGGAATTTTTGTCTCAGAATGTGATGATCTTCAGCAAAGACGAATGGCAGAGGGAATTTTGTTTTTATTAAAAATGTCTAAAATTCCTTTTTTTTTTAATTAACGTACCATTCATCTTTATTTGGTGAGTAAAAATGCAATGTGTTCCAGGCTAGCAGAAGAGCCCAGTCAGCTGCATACTCCTTACAGTGGTATTAAAAGATATCAGTACTACAGCAATTTTGATTTTAATAGTCACAGAACTCCAAATGATTTATAAAATCCTTACAAACTAAAAAATTCAGTTTATTATCCTTTATTATCTCTCTCTTAACCCCTTCCTTTTTTTACAGCTATATAATCTTAGTCCCTTGCAGCCAGATTTACAAGTCCTTTCCTTCTGGAGGAGAGTAGAGAGCTACACTCTCTTATAAGAAGTATTGCTCCACTAGAACTTCATCTTCCTTGTGGGTGACTAACATGAAATGCATTATATATTTATTTCCTATTTCCCAAATTTGTTGCAGCACTAGCATATTACGCCCCTAGAATTATTTACATCACTCCCTGACCCCCAAAGCCTAATGTCCTTACCACACTTAGCACACACTCTAGGGCAGATCTGAGAGGATATACCTGACATATCAGTATGTTTTTGTATTGTAGGAGGAAACCAGAGCAAACCCACAAATATAGGGAAAACATACAAACCTCATACAGATAGCATCCCAGGCTGGATTTAAGCTTAAGGCCCAATTCTGCCCCTATATCATTTCCTTCTGGGAGATTAGAGACATGATTAATTAGCAGAGATTGAGAAACAGATAGCACACTGGTATGGGCTTAAAAATACATTGGCACTATTATAAAGCACAGCGGTGTGCTTTATAAATGTGCCCTTCTCTGCGTTTGCCTCTGATCTCCAAAGAAAAAGAAACCCCATTCATTTCAATGAATAGAGAAAAAATGTTTCATTATCCAAAGGTTGGAATTTACAAACAATGTTTGTATTGTAGTTTTGTGTGACTTTATGCAATGTCTTGATAAAAACAAGCCAACAAGCATGCATTATGTCAACAAAAACAAAAAAATCTTTGGGCAGTCAGATCATGCCTACATGTCTATGTCCGCTCAAGAGGTAGTGAAGCCATGAGCCAATGCTTTCTAAATGCCACAAATCACCCAGGCTGGCAGTGTGAGATAAAGCTGTTGACAGAAGAAAGTTCTATACTTCCACAACATATCCACTACATCCTTAAATACATTAGTTTTATATTTCATTTATCTCCCTGCTCTGTGTTTTCCTCTTGAGATAGGATCAGTGCACATATGGTTATGCCTTGATGTGGCCTGTGCTTTCAATTGCAGTCACTGTGTCCAAGTAGTAACTGTACCTTGAGTGTGCAGAGTTCTGTCACCACCTTTCCCAAAACTGTCACTTCACTCCTCCTGCAAATCCCCTGCATTGGGGAAGCATAACACTTTTAGCTGACTAAGCACAAAACGGCAAACTTGAACTTTTTCCTTTGCTACAAATGATGTATGTGCTTCTTTTTTTCACTTTTTCACACGTTATACATTTTAGTGTAACAATATGTTTCTAGAAAAACACAACAATGAAATTTAGGATCTGCTCTAAGGCAACAATATTCATGGATGCATAATATTATTTCTTATTCTATGGCAGAGCTTTTACTGTTATGTATACACAGTCTGGGATTTTATGTTCTTGCTGCAGGATGTCGCTTGATGCCCATATCTTCACAAGGATTGAACAATGACCTGACTGTCACCTTAGTCGTTCATATCCCAATTTTTACTAATGATGTGACAGATCTAGGCATGATCTTGGAATAATCAGCCAGTGCACGTGTTAATGAACACATGGAAATGATCATGCATGAGCTAAGAAAATACTGTAATACTTACAGAGCTTTGAATGCAAAGCAAGAAATCTATAAACTAGTTAACAATTAATAAAACTGCAGAAATCCTTGTTACAGAGAAAGCCATTGGTGTGTTCACTCAGTTGTTTAAAATAACAGCAGATTGTCTGCAGGTCACATAAAATGCTCATGTAAAGGATTTAAGTGTAAAGCGGTAACATGACCTCTTTACAGGTGCATGTCACTAATGGTGGGTCTAATTGGTCTTTCCCTGTGCCACAGAAATTAATTGTAGTGTGTGATTGTGGCAGGGAGTTCATCTAATGACCTTTGGGCCTTAAAAGAGGCAAGTAGGAAGAAAAGTCAAATGTTTCATGTTCGGATAGAGCATGTGTGAGGTTAGTCATAAAAGGAAGATACACAATCATGCAACAAGCTTATTTAAAGCTGCTTTTAGACAGGCATTAAAAGCATGAAAATGAGAAAGGCTCATGAGGCAATAGATTAAGTCAAGCCCTATTGGATTTGCTCCATTGGAGACAGCAGGAATAGGCCTTAATTCAACACTGGAAGTAGCAGCCACAACAGATCTAAAAGCTATAGGAAAGTTTGCTCTTACAAAAAATAAAGCTAAAGTCCTCAGCTGCATACAAACTGGTCAGTGTCATAACAGTTTCATAGTACAGTTTGTAGGCTTCTTTTTTGGGGTACCACACTGCATTGTCTTAATAGTTTAATAAAATGTCAAAACAAAGTAAATAAAAACACTTAAAACCACAACTCCACATTTTCCGAAGCCCTCCCATCTCTATTATTCCCCAAATATTCCAAATATAGACTTAATGTTTAATAGAAAATGTCTAGTAAATGAACAGTACACACTGTAGTCTGCAGTGTTTAACAAAACACCTATGTGACTTCAATGCACCACCACGCCCCCTCCCGCCCCTGAACGCAGGGAGCCAGCCGGCTTGCGTTGCAGTGCGTTCCAAAGGCCGAACGCACTGGAACGCGGACTCTAGGACCCCTAATGACACCCTCCCGAGCTGGTCCCGGGCCGCAGATGGGCTAGCGGATCCCGGGATTGAAGGTGAGGGGTTAGGAGGGGGGATGGCTGCAGCAGACGAGGGGGGGCACACACCAGCACATATACCCGATCGGCAGGCTATAGAGCCGCCGATCGGGTATATGTTAAACAGCCGGTAACGGCTCTATGCATTGCATGGGTTTTTTCTGCCTGTGCGCGCGCGAGCAGAAAAAAAATGCCATCTGGATTAGGCAACCCGCTAATGCAGCAGTGCCGTTCGTCCGTTTTTTTTCAACGGGCAGGCGGCAACTGGTTAAATAAATGAATTTCTACTTTTTCTATAAATGGTCTGAAGTAACTTCTTTTGGTTAGCTCACTGGATGGTGTTTGCGACCGTTTCAAATTCGTTTCAAAGGTGAGGTCTGATTACCGAGGAAACAGGGATGAAGAAAGTAAAAGTGCTTTAATCAGGTCTCCCCTAGGCATAAACAAGCACTAGACCCTTGCAATGGGGGATGTTTCTGGTGTGCCCGGAGATAAGCTTTACAGTAGATGTAAATGTTGCATTTATATATGAAACCAAGAGACCTCAGACATAGCCTGACACTCTTGCCCCTGAGGGCCAATACCGCGCTCCCCTATCGCCTGCTGGGACTCGGTTGAATGCTTACCCAACTTGCTCCCACGCCAACTCTCTCCCTCAAGAACTCTGATCTAGATTGCCCGACCACATTAATTTCAATTGGTCTACAGATGTTATACAATATTTGGGGATTAAGCTCACCCCTTCTTTTTCCCAATTATATAGGGTCAACTACCGTATTTTTTGCTCCATAAGACACACCTGACCATAAGAAGCACCTAGGTTTAGAGGCAAAAGAACAAGAAAGAACAAGAAAAAAAAAATGCAGAGGACAGGGTGTGATGCACAGTGCAGAGGACAGAGTGTGATGCACAGTGCAGAGGTCAGGGTGTGACGCAGAGGTCAGAGTGTGACGCAATTCATCTTCACACAACACTTAGGTCTCGTTCACACCAAATCCAGTGTGTTCCCACAATGTGATCACCTGCATGGGAACGCATGGCACAGCTATGCCCACGGTGCAGTGCAATTGCAAAAAATAGTGCAAGCAATCGCACTGCTGTGCCATGTATTCCACTGCGCTTGATCGCACTGGATTTGATGTGAACAAACCCTAAATGTTGTGTGAAGATGAATTGTTTTAAATTACAAATATTTAACGCTAAGAAGTGACCTATGCAAAGCAGCAGTGGCGTAACAATCGCCATAGCGAACCTGGCGGCCGCTATGGAGCCCGGGCACAGGGGGGCCCGGCCAGGGCCGCCTTGGTCGCTATGGCATTTGGGGGTGCTGGCTGTACATGACACAGCTCAGCAGCGGCCACGGCGCATTTCCCCTCAAAGCCTCTCATAGCCCTCATAGCCGCTGCGGAGCTGTGTCAGTGACAGCCAGCCTGCGGCAGATGAGGGTGGTGTACGGAATGGAGGAGGCGGTGCCCGTCTCCTCTTACATCACTGGCAAGTGACCTAAGAGCAGGTGGGGCCAGTGATGTAAGAGAAGGTGGAAAAGGAGTCGGGGCCCGGCGACCACAGAGGCGCTGACAGGTAAGAGATCTCAAACCCTGCAGAGCCCACTATAGAGAGTCTATGGTGGGCTTGCAGGGTCACGCTCCGCTGGGGCTCTGCAAGTGGCATAACTAGCAATCACGGGGCCCCATACAAAATTTTGCTATGGGGCCCTGTGATTTCTAGTTTCGCCACTGCAAAGCAGGAATAATTACTGTTACTTTTAATACTTTTGATATCCATTGCATTCAAGTTGTTGCTCACTGTTTTGAAAAAAGTTCTCTATATGAGTCACAGCTCTGCCGCTCTGTACACCCTGCGGGAGCCGTGTGTGTGGAGGGAATATTCGCTCCATAAGACGCACTGTCATTTCCCCCCCACTTTTTTGGGGGAAAAGTGCGTCTTATGGAGCGAAAAATACGGTATATACCACTATTTCGTCAGCTCTTAGAAGATATATCTAAATGGAAATTTATTTAAAAGAAGAAGTTTTCCCCAGGGAAAGGGGATCCC